GGGAGGGACGGAGTGCGGTAGGGGAAGAGGCGGTAGTAGGGTACTGACTCGTGGAACGTGACGTCCTGGGAGGACAGAACACGACGAGAGGCGGGGTGGTAGAACTGCCACCCAGGGGCGTCAGGGGGGAAGCCAAGGAAGACACAGGGAGCAGCACGAGGGGACAGCTTGTCCGCAGACAAGTCGCGGACAAACGCCCGAGATCCCCAGACACGGAACGCAGACGCATCGCGGACCTTCCCCGTCCACAGCAAGGCTGGGGAGGTCTCCGGTCTGGAGACCCTGGGGTGAAGGTTGATCTGATGCGCCGCGTACCGAACCGCAAACGGCCACAGAAAATGGGGGGCAGCCGCATGCATCATGGACGTACGAGCGACGTCCATGACCATGCCAATGCGGCGCTCAGCAATCCCCTTTTGCTGCGGAGAATCCAGAAGCGTGAAGGTCTGGCGGATGCCTCGCGCACGACAGTAAGCTCGCAAAAGGCCAGAGGAGAAATCTCCGCCTCAGTTAGTGTGCAGACGCAGAACAGGAAAGTCCGAGCCGAAGCTCCTCCTGAGCTGGAGACGAGCTGCGCGGATCCAGTCAATCAACACCTCAGCGACATCACCCTTGCTGCGCAAGGGGAAGACTGTGGTGTAACGCGAGTAGTCGTCAACCACCAGCAGGAAGTAGCGCTCGTGACCCTGTCCACGGACGCGGGCCGGGCCCCACACGTCCATGTGAAGCGTATGCAGCGGGGCCTCTGTCGGGGGAAACTGAGAGGAGTGAGGGGCAGCTCGGAGCCGCCCCTCGACATAGGGGACACAGGAAGGACCAGGCCCCGGAGGAAGGGGAGGGAGGGACCGGGGAAGACCAGAGACAAGGACACGGGAAGCCATGCCTCGGAGACGAGGCAGGGAGGGGTGACCAAGACGGTGGTGTTAGAGGAGAGTCTCGTGAGACAGGAGGCAATACGAGTAGGGAGCAGACTCAGGACCAGACCTGGACGTTGCAGCAAACACCTGACCCGACACAGCTACCTGACCAGACGCAGTGACTGGAGGAGACTCAGTGGTCAGTGTGTACAGGCTCCCCCGGCCGACGTGTAAACGTGGCCAGGTGTTGGCCTGTCCGAGCGTCGGTGCAGTGGGTCACCCGCTGACTCGCAGGAGTGAACTGGTGAACCCCCGTATCCTGCAGGTCAGCACCACTCACCAAGTTTGTAGAGAACGAGGGGAGGTAAAGACCAGACAAGGTGCCAGAGGGGGCAGCCGGACACGGGAGGACAGTGGAGAAGTAAGAGAGGACAAGAACCCTAGAGGGGTCTGCCAGGGAGACTACAACTGGCCGACCAAGCAGCGTGAGTGTGGTGCGGTCTCGAAAGAAGGAGCGAGAAGCCCTTGAGTCAAGTGTGAAGGTGAGGGAGGCCGAAGCCGACGTGGTACCTGAGAGCGCAGACTCACTAGCACCTGAGGGCGCGGACGCACTGGCACCTAGAGCAGCAGCCTCACCAATACCTAGAGCAGCAGTACCAATGCCCGGGTCGGGCGGGAAACACCGGTAACAGTCACCCTCATCACTAATAGTCACAGCATACATGGCAGCAAGGATAGCATCAAACTCAAGATCAAAGATAGCTACGCCTGCCCTAGACAGCTCTCCCCAGCGGGGGATCTCACTAGCCTCCAGGAACTGCTGACGCCAAGCGTCCGTCAGGCGGCCAAAGCAGCGCTGGGTGGGGTGAGCACCCCCACACTGCTCACCTGCGCGGTCGCCGGAGCGGAGGACGTAGGTGCACAGGCCAAAACCCCCACCACGCTGACGCTGCGTGTACCACTCACGGAGCTGCTGAGGAGGGGGGATGTCCCGAGAACGCTGCTGCTGCTGCTGCTGCTGCTGCTGGCGCTGACCACTCCCGGAACCGCTCCGCTGAGAAGTACCACCTCGACCAGCTCCACCTCCTCCACCACTTCCGCCTCCACCTCCGCCGCCACCGCCGCCTCCGCTCCCACCGCTACCGCCACCGCCGCCTCCGCCTCCGCCGCTGCCACCGCCACCTCCACCCCCGGCACCACTCCCACCGCCACCCCCACTCCCTCTGCCGCCTCCACCGCCACCTCCACCACCCCCGCTAGATCCACCCGCGCCCTTGCCCCCCTTGCCCTTGCCAGAGCGGCGTCTCCCGCTAGGGGCAGACGCCGCACCGACCGACTCAAGACCAAGTAGGTCGGCCGCAGCAGTAGAGGGGACAGAGGGCAATAGGGGGGAAGGGGAACACCCCTCAAAGATGGGGGTGCGAGGGTCACCACGAGAGGCTCCTACAACGACTATGCTCTTCTCCGCTGCTAGGAGGGCCTTCTCTAGGAGGTCAACAGTGAGAGTGGTGGGACAGACTGAGAGAAAGTGGTCCCTGACTACGCGAAGGGAGTCAGGGAGGCGGGTGACTATGTAATAGAGAGTGATGTACATGGGGGGGGGGTTCTTGGCGCAGAACTCAGCAGGCAGCGCGGCGCGGTAGCGAGTGTCACTAGTGCGGAGGTGCGTAATGAGGTCAGCAACTGTGGGAAATGCAGCAAGGTCAGGGAAGAGGTACGGTAGCATGAGGCGGCTAAGTGCAGCAGTGGCAGGGGAAGAGTAGCGCGCAACTACAGCGTCGTACAAGGTCTGAGCACTCTTGTACTGACTAAAGTGCGCGCGCTCAGTGGTAGGCAGGTGGCGACGCACAGCAAGACGTGCAGCAGCATCGCGGGTGGCCCACTGAGAGCGAACAATGGGATCAGCATCAGCAGCAGGTGCAGGAGAGGCGCCAGAGGTGAGGTCAAAGAGAGAAAGACCGTCCGCCCTATCGCACTATAAGAACAGCTGCAGGTCGTCGACCCAGACCTCAAAGTCTATGGCTCGACCCTTAGCGTCAAAAGCGAGGACACTAGGGGTAGCCATGACGACGGTAGACTAGCAGTGCAAGCAGTAGGGGAAGGGCACGCAGTGACAGAGAGGCTGTGCTCACCGGACAGGGCTGCTCGGGCGGCTCAACTGTAGGGCGGCTCGGCGGCTGGGCGGCTCGGCTGCTGGGTGGCTCAGTGGCTCGGCTGCGGGGCGGCTCGGCTGCTGGGCGGCCTCGGCGGCTGGGCGGCTCGGCTGCACGGCGGCTCGGCTGGTGGGGGGCCGGGCGGCCCGGCGGCAGGGCGGCTCGGCTCCTCTGGTACAGGGCGGCGCGGCGGTCTGCGGCTCGGGCGCGTTGCTGCACGAGGGGAGAGCGGCGAGGCCGCAGCAGACGGGCGGCGGGACCCGTTGACGTAGGGTGGCGGGGCCGGTGAAGTAGGGCGGGGGGGCCCTTGAAGTAGGGCGGCGGGGCCCTTGAAGTAGGGCGGCGGGGCCGCATGTGTAGGGCGGCGGGGCCGCTGAAGTAGGGCGGCGGGGCCCGTTGAAGTAGGGCGGCGGGGCCGCGAAGTGGGGCGGCGGGGCCGCGAAGTGGGGCGGCGGGGCCGCAGCAGACGGGCGGCGGGGCCGCTGAAGAAGGGCGGCGGGGTCGCGAAGTGGGGCGGCGGGGCCGCAGCAGACGGGCGGCGAGGCCGCTGAAGCAGGGCGGCGGGGCCGCGAAGTGGGGCTCCGGGGCCGCGAAGTGGGGCGGCGGGGCCGCTGAACAGGGCGGCGGGGGGCCGCGACGTAGAGCGGCGGGGCCGCGAAGTAGGGCGGCGGGGCCGCAGGAGTAGGGCGGCGAGGCCGCAGTTAGGGCGGTGGGGTCGTGACGTAGGGCGGCGGGGCCGCGAATGCGGGTGGCGGGGCCACGCTAGTAGGTGGCGGGGCCGCACGAACGGGCGACGGGGCCGCTAAGGTAGGGAGGGCCGCTAGGGCATAGGGGCCGCTAGGGCGGCTCGACGAGGTGAGAGCGCGACTCGGGCGGAGCGCGCTTCGGGCAGGAAAATTCGAACTTTGGTGGGCCCTAGGCACAGTTCCCACAGGGGAACCTGCTCGATACCATGAGGAAATGAGAACGAGAATGAATGACTAAGGAATGGAAGTGATACAAATATGCAACCCTAGAAATGTGTACCCCATATGGACTACCCCACTATAGCCTACACAATATTATAATTTGACATCGCGTTGTTCCCACTCGCTCCAGCCGGTAACCCCGTGATCAAGTCCATCGTCACCTGTTGCCAAGCACGCACCACTGTGGGTGGTATCGGCTGCAACTGCCCCGCCGGTCGTTGCCATGACGACTTCATGAGCTGGCAGGTGGGACACGATGCTACGTGTTATTGTACGTCGCTCAACATCTTGGGCCAGTAATAATACCGCTGCAGCTGCTATCTTGTTTTTTCGACCCCGAGGTGACTCCGTCATGTGCCTCCTATAACACTAACTCCTGTAGTGGTGTATAGCCCGGTACCTAGATGTGATCGGTGTCGGGTTTTACATAATGCACCCTTCGTGCTGCTACAAACTGCTACGAGTTTCCCCCCTGTGAAAAACGGGTCTGTCTGGAACCCGTGGTGTCAGAATGTGTAGTTTGTCTAGCCTGCAGTGGGGTACTCTTTAGTGAGTACGGCCCCTTACGGTTTCCTATGTGTATCCACCTGCTTGCTAGTGCAACCCCTCTTTTGCCTATTCTCTCTTGCCTAGCTAGCTAAACCCTAGCTATGGCTCCTGCGTTCTAGCTACAGTTTCAACATGGTATCAGAGCGATTACGCTCCTGGCCCGTGGGCCCGCCTGCTTCCGCTGCCATACTGTCTGTCGAACGCCCCGTGGCGCGCGACGTTCTTTTTTCTTCCCACCACGCGCTCGGGGCGTGTGGCGGTTTTCTGCCCGTCACGCGCTCGAGGCGCATGGCGGTTTCCTGCCCCCCGCGCGCCCGGGCGGTTTCGTCACCCGTCGCGGCGCCCCGGGGACCCGCCCGCTGTCCCCTCCCGTCGCCCGTTCCCGACGGGTGAACGTGGCCAAGTGTCGGCTTGTCCGAGCACATGTGCAGTGGGTCACCCGCTGACCCGCAGGGGTGAACTGGTCAACCCCCCTATCCTGGAGGTCCGCTCCACTCACCAAGTTCGTAGAGAACGAGGGGAGGTAGAAACCTGACAGGGTGCCAGAGGGGGCTGCCGGACACGGTAAGACAGTGGAGAAGTGAGCAAGGAGAGGACCCCCAGAGGGGTCCGCCTGGGAGACCGCAACCGGCCGACTGAGCGGCGTAAGTGTGGTGCGGTCCCGAAAGAAGGAGCGGGAAGCACCTGAGTCAAGGGTGAAGGTGTGTAAGGCCTGAGCCGACGTTGTACCTGAGAGGGCAGACTCACCAGCACCTGGGGCAGCAGACGCGCTAGCACCTAGAGCAGCAGCCTCACCAGCACCTAGAGCAGCAGGCTCAATGCCCGGGTCCGGCGGAACACACAGGTAACAGTCACCCTCAACATTATCAGCAACAGCATACATGGCAGCAAGAATAGCATCAAAATCAAGATCAAAGATAGCAACCCCCGCCTAAGACAGCTCTCCCCAGCGAGGGATCTCAGAGGCCTCATGGAACTGATGACGCCACGCGTCCGTAAGGCGGCCGAAGCAGCGCTGGGTGGAGTGTGGGCCCCCGCACTGCTCACCAGCGCGGTCGCCTGTGCGGAGAACGTAGGTGCATGGACCCGTATCCCCACCGCGCTGACGCGCAGCGTACCACTCACGAAGCTGCTGAGGGGACAGGGTCTCATGACTGCGCTGCTGCTGCTTGCGCGTACCTCCACCGGAGCCACTCCTCTGCGCAGAGCTACGACCAGGTCCACTGCTGTCGCCGCCGCCTCCGCCACCTCCGCCGCCTCCGCCGCCTCCACCACCTCCACCGCCTCCGCTCCCTCCGCCACCGCCGCCGCCTCCTACGCCTCCACTGGTGCCACCGACACCTCCACCCCCGCCACCACTCCCACCACCACCTCTACCCCCTCCACTGCCTCCACTGCCACCCGCACCGCCCCCGCCAGCCCCTCCAGCGCTCTTGCCCCCCTTGCCGTTGCCGGTGCGGCGTCTCCCGCTCGGGGCAGACGCAGCGCCGACCGACTCGAAACCAACGAGGTCGGCCGCAGCAGTAGAGGCAACAGAGGGCAAAAGGGGGGAGGGGGAACACCCCTCAAAGACGGGGGTGCGAGGGTCACCACAAGAGGCTCCTACAGCGACTATGCTCTTCTCTGCTACTAGGAGGGCCTTCTCGAGGAGTTCATCGGTGAGAGTGGTTGGGCAAACTGAGAGGAAGTGGTCCGTGACTACACGGAGAGAGTCAGGAAGCCGGGTGACTATGTAGTAGAGGGTGATGTGCATGGGGGGGGGGGGTTCTTGGCGCAGAACTCAGCAGGAAGCGCAGCGCGGTAGCGAGTGTCACTAGTGCGGAGGTGCGTAATGAGGTCAGCGACTGTGGGAAAGGCAGCAAGGTCAAGGAAGAGGTACGGTAGCATGAGGCGGCTCAGTGCAGCAGTGGCAGGGGAGGAGTAGCGTGCAACTATAGCGTCGTACAAGGTCTGAGCACTCTTGTACTGGCTAAAGTGCGCACGCTCAGTGGTCAGTAAGTGGCGACGCACAGCAAGACGGGCAGCAGCATCGCGTGTGGCCCACTGTGAGCGAACAGTGCTGTCAGCAGTAGCAGGCGGGGCAGGAGAGGCACCAGAGGTGAGATCAAACAGAGAGAGTCCGTCTGCCCTATCGCACTGGAGAAACAGCTGGAGGTCATCGACCAAGACCTCAAAGTCAACGGCACAGCCCTTAGCATCAAAAGTAAGGGCACTAGGGGTAGCCATGACTGCAGTGGCCTAGTAGGGAGTGTGCTCACCAGTCCGAGGAAGGAGGGCCGGGGCGCACCGGTAGGAACAGCAGCGATTCGACAGTAGGGCGGCTCGGCGGCTCGGCAGCTCGGCGGCAGGGCGGCTCGGTTGCTGGGCGGCTCGGCTGCTGGGCGGCTCGGCAGCGCGGCGGCTGGGCGGCTCGGCTGCTGGGCGGCTCGGCTGCTGGGCGGCTTGGCTGCTCGGCGGCTCGGCTGCTGGGCGGCTCGGCTGCTCGGCAGGTGGGCGGCTCGGCTGCTAGGCTGCTCGGCGGCTCGGCCGCTGGGCGGCTGAGCGGTGACAGGGGCGCTAGGGAAGGGCGACGGGGCCGCAGGTGGCGGCGATGGGGCCGCAGGTGGTGGCGACGGGGCCGCAGGTGGCGGGGGGGCCGCAGGTGGCGGCTGCGTGGCCGCAGGTGGCGGCGACGGGGCCGCAGGTGGCGGCGACGGGGCCGCAGGTGGCGGCGACGGGGCCGAAGGTGGCGGCGACGGGGCCGCAGGTGACAGCGACGGGGCCGCAGGTGGCGGCGACGGGGTCTCAGAGGGGCCGCAGAGGGGCCTAGACGGGGCCGCAGAGGGGCCGCAAGGGGCCTAGACGGGGCCGAAGAGGGGCCGCAAGGGGCCTAAAAGGGGCGGCGATGGGGCCGTAAGGGGCCGGAAAGGGCGCCGCGAGGGGCCGAAAGGGGGCCGCGCGAGGGCCGTAAGGGCGGCGCGAGGGGCCGCAAGGGGCCATAAGGGCAGCGCGAGGGGCCGTAAGGGGCTGGAAGGGCGGCGCGAGGGGCCGTAGAGGGCGGCGCAAGGAGCCGTAAGGGCGGCCAAATGGGCTGTGAGAGGGGCCACTAAGGGCGGCTCGAAGGAAGGGAGGGCACACAGAGCGCGACTCGGGCAGGAGTGAAGCGCGCTCCGGGCAGGAAAAAAAAAATATCGTGGTGGGCCCTAGGTAGCGTTCCCACTAGGGAACCTGCTCGATACCATGATAAGAAACGAGAATGAATGCATTGAGCAGAATGAGGAGTACAAGTAGTATACCCTAAAGTGTTGTACCCCATATGAACTGCCCCACTACAGCCTACACATACTATAGCATATATGCCTGACACTTGGTTTATTCCAAGACGGAAGAGGAGCACACACGACACCTTAAGTGGGTGTTAGGAAAACTCCGAGAGCATATGTGATATGCTCGTCTGTGGAAATGTTATTTCTACAAATGCGAGTTGGATTATCTTTGCCATCTGGTGGGAAAAGACGGTCTCAAAGTAGACCGGAAGAAAATTGTTGCAGTCCAGAATTGGCCGGTTCCATAAGATGTGGGTCAAATCAGGTCGTTTTTGGGACTGGCGAACTATTTTCGTCGATTCTTGCAGAATAATTTTACCATTGTTGCTCCATTGACGGCCCTCACTCGCAAGAGTAGCGCTTGGCAATGGACACAGCAATGCCAAAAGGCATTCGACGAGGTCAAGCGAATGCTTACCAATGCTTTGGTACTGGTTTTACAAGATCCGACGAAACCCTATGAGTTTGTTACAGACGCCTCATTGATAGGGATTGGGGCTGACCTCTTGCAAGAGGGGAGACCAGTGGCATTTGAGAGTCGAAAGCTCTCCCCGGCAGAGCAGCGCTATACGACGTCCGAATAGGAACTATTGGCGGTCGTTCATGCGCTACGAATATGGCGATGTTATCTGGAGGGTGTGGACTTTGAGGATACGACCGACCATTGTCCAAACACCTACTTCTCCACCCAAGGCACGCTTACTCGACGTCAAGCCATATGGGCGGAACTCCTTAGCAAGTTCACTTTCGACATTCGATATCGAGCAGGTACGAGGTTCGAGGAACCTGGCTGACCCCCTCAGCAGACTGCCGATAGGGGCAGCAACATGGCTAGACGACACAGAGGATGCGGCATTATTTTCCGCTTGCTTCAGTGTCCTAGCAATGGCTCAAGTGAGTGAGATAACCTTCAGTGGTTTTCTGAAACGCATCCGCACCGGGTATCAAATTGACTCCTAGTTTCAGAACCCATGAAAAACGAAGGAACTCAAGTGGGAGCATGAGCTCTGGTGGCGTGGAAAAGAGATTGTTGTACCTAACTTAGGTAACCTACGAAATGACATTATGGAAGAAGTACATGCCACAAAGTACGGAGGACACCTAGGGGTCAAGAAGGCCAGGTGGGCCTTGAGTGATGAGTATGTCAGAATCCCAGCCACTAACCACTGGTATAAAAGGGCTTGTTTCAGTAGCGGGTCAGTGCGCCCATAACCCCCCAGGCGAACGCGCTTGCAACCCCCCCTAGGATTATACACGTAGCAGATGGAGGAATTTTATAATCGCATTCCCGACATTACCGAGGGCGAAAAAATTCAGTCTTACATCGCGGGGCTGAAAACCGACATTCGGCGCCAGGTTGCAGCAGCGAATTGCAGCAGCTACAGCGAAATCGTACCGGCCGCGGAGCGTTTTGACTTGGTCAACTCCGGAACACGACGGCCCCACGTCGTCAGATCACGACAAGGGGATCGCTCGGCTTCAACCACGTTCGCCGACCCCATGGAAGTCGACAAATTCGACGCGAATTCACGACCTGCAAAAAACAAAACGTTTTGCGAATTTTGCGGCGGAAACGGACATCGGATTGTCGACTGTTTTCACATGAAATCTGCACGTGCGGCATTCCGAGCTCGTGGGAGTGACGAAACTAAAGACAAAAAGTCAAAAAACGCATCTCGCTAGTGATTGCGGATCGTGCTGGTGAGGAAAAGCAGATCCGAAAGCGTCAGCGCAATCTGGACCGAATCGAAATTGAAGGACAGCATTGGGCGCGAGATTTGGAGAATCAAGGGCGAAATCCCAAGCCCCTTGACCGAATTTTGTCAGAGGGATTCGCCGAGGAAAAGAAAACCTCCGCGAAAACAGACTCGACCAAGACGGGAACTCTCCAATTCGACCCCGGAAAAAAACAGAATTCGTTAAAGCTATCTTTCAAAGATGCTTTAATGAAGACTGGTGATTTTCGCGGGCCCGGAGCCATAAACAAATTCCGGGAAGAACTCCAGAGGAAGCAGACAATTAAAGAAGTGGTACCAGTGCCTACGGAGCTGGGGAAAAAATTAAGGAGTGTGGAAAGGAGTAGACCTTTTCACGGCGTTAACGTCCTCTCCCGGAACCAGCCCAAGACGACTCTCCACTCCCCAGGGAAGAAGTCTATGGAGCTGAAGCAGCTGAAGAGGCAGCTAGGAGTTCAAAAGAAGCTACAAAAACTCCGAAAACCCCTCCAGGATGCATCCAGTGGATCGCAGGCGTCGACCGGATCCACCCCCTCAGGGTCAACCTGTACGGTTACTACCTCTACTCCTGGCGTTGGAGAGGAGCTTTTCTCCACGCAGCCCAGGCCAGCTGGTTGTCCAGGAGCAAACAGTGGAACCACGGTGTGTACAAAATATTGGGATGTACCCTATGATCCTATTAACGAGACTATTTTTGGGTACTCCGAGCAACGCTCACCACTCCTGCTCGAGGTGATCTGCAACGGACAGCGCCTCCAAGTACTCGTGGACAGCGGGGCGTCGCACAGCGTCTATGACAAAAAGGCAATTGATCGACTCGGAGGTGAAATCAAATCCTCAAGCTTCTCTGCAACGATGGTGGATGGCAGTAAGCTACCTATCTACGGGGAAACACGGTTACTACTCCAGATTGGACCCCTCCGATGGAAGCCTGCTCTCCTCGCCACAAATATCAAAGGACTCGACGTAATCTTCGGGAGAGACTTTCTTAAAAAGTTCAACCCCGAGATAAACGGGGTTAACCAGACGGCCAACATCAACAACAACGGGAGGAAAATCATCCTTCCCAAATGGGACGACACGGGAAATATTCCAGTCGAGAGACTCGCACGCTTTGAAAAGGACGTCAAACGGACCACGGCGGGATTCATGGCGATAGTCAACGAAGCAGACAATGGAGAGAAGCAGACCCAGAAACTTCCTCCAGCAGTCAAGAAAATTCTTGAAGAGTTCCAGGACGTTCTCCCCGATGATTTACCTGATCAACTACCGCCATACCGAACACATCAACACGAGATCGTAGAAGAGCCGGGGTCCAAGCCAACGTTCCGAGCACCATACCGGCTGAGCCCGACAGAGCTCGCCGATATGAAAAACCAAATAGAGTATCTCCTGGAGAAAGGGCTGATTCGACCTTCGACTTCACCGTACGGAGCTCCAGTTCTCTTCACTCCGAAGCCAGACGGAAGTCTGCGAATGTGCATCGACTACCGAGCCTTGAACAAGCAGACTGTAAAAAATAAATACCCGATACCACGGATCGACGACTTACTCGATCAACTTCGCGGTGCTACGGTATTCTCCAAGCTTGACCTCAGATCGGGATACTGGCAAATTCGTATGGCGGACAACTCTATCCACAAAACCGCCTTTCGAACTCGGTATGGGTCATACGAGTATCTCGTGATGCCGTTCGCACTCACTAACGCACCAGCCACATTTCAGGCGGAAATGAACCACATCCTTTGGCCCCTTCTAGACGAGGGCGTGGTGGTATATTTGGACAATATCCTGATCTACTCGAAAGACATGAAGAAGCACGTTGAGCATCTGCGACGGGTGTTTGAAATTCTTCGACGAGAACGCTTCTACGTGAAACTATCCAAGAGCGAGTTTGCGTTGGAAAAAGTCCAGTTCCTTGGACATATGGTGAGCGCTCAAGGAGTTCACGTGGATCCTAAGAAGATCGAAGCAGTGCGAACGTGGAAGACCCCTGAGGACGTGAAGGAGTTACAACAGTTCCTTGGATTCGCCAACTACTACAACCGGTTCGTACCGAACTACGCCAAGATTGCCGCACCATTAACGAACCTATTGAAGAAGAATACACCATATCAATGGGAGGCGAAGCACCAGGAAGCCGTGGAACAACTTAAAACTGCACTCACGTCCGCACCTGTCCTTATCCTGCCAGACCTTGAACTTGACTATGTCATCGAGGCCGATGCTAGCGATCAAGCAGTGGGCGCAGTACTCATGCAGGATCAAGGGAAGGGACTGCAACCCATTGCATACCTCAGTAAAAACTTCACGGGGCAGAACTCAATTATCCCATCCATGACAAAGAGGCCCTCGCTATCGTCAACGCATTTAAGGCATGGAGGTGTTATCTCGAAGGAAGAAAAACGACCGTCTACACCGACCACTGCAGCCTCAAGTATCTGAAGACCCAACCAACACTCTCCAGGCGGCAGGTCCGGTGGATTGACTTTCTCGAAACCCACTTCCATTACGACATCGTGTATAAGCCGGGGCAAAAGAACAAGGCAGACGCACTCAGTCGCCCTGCACACGTTGCCGCCCAACAAGTCGATGGCATGAACCCACTTTTGAAGGGACTCTTCACGCATGGATACACCATCGACCCCAAAGTCTCTGTAGCAGAAAAGCGCCATCTTCTACATTGGGGTCAAGACATCGCATACCGCAATGGATCCACAAAAATATGGGTACCTAATTACCCTCCTTTACACCAGTTACTGTCAAACATTATATATGTTATGCTTGTGTAGGCTACAGTGGGTTAGCCTATAGGGGGTACACAATTCTAGGGTTTCCTACTTGTACTCATTTCACTGCTAGTTCATTCATTCCTGTTCGCTTATTCTCACATGGTATAGAGCGGGTCCTTCTCAGGACCGTTTTTTTTGGGCCCACCGAAGCGCGCCCCGAGGCGCGATTTTTTTAGCGACCCCTCGGGTCGCCTTTTCCCCTGCGGCTCAGCCGCCTCCACTGACGCGGCCCCGCCGCCCTCCCTTACGCGGCCCCGTCGCCGGCTCTCACGCGGCCCCGCCGCCGACTCTGTCGCGGCCCCGCCCCGGCCTTTACGCGGCCCCGCTGCCTGCTCTCACGCGGCCCCGCCCCGGCTCCTACGCGGCCCCGCCCCGGCCTTCACGCGGCCCCGCCGACGGCTCTGTCGCGGCCCCGCCCAGGCTCTTACGCGGCCCCGCCGCCTACTCTCGCGCGGCCCCGCCCCGGCTCTTACGCGGCCCCTGCCCCGGCTCTTACGCGGCCCTGCCGCCGGCTCTCTTGCGGCCCCGCCCCGGCTCTCACGTGGCCCCGCCGTCGGCCCTCTCCAGGCCCCGCCGCCGGCTCTCTTACGGCCCCGTCGCCGGCCCTGACGCGGCCCCTGCCCCGGCTCTCAAGCGGCCCCGCCGCCGGCTCTTTTGCGGCCCCGCCGCCGGCTCTGAAGCGGCCCCGCCCCGGCTCTCACGCGGCCCCGCCGCCGGCCCTCACGCGGCCTCTACCCGGCTCTCTTGCGGCCCCGCCGCCGGCTCTGAAGCGGCCCCGCCCCGGCTCTCACGCGGCCCCGCCGCCGGCCCTCACGCGTCCCCGCCCCGGCTCTCTCACGCGGCCCTGCCGCCACACCTGCAGCAGTTGGGCAGCAGTGCAGCCGAACCGCCCGGGAGCCGAGCCGCCCAACACCCGAGCCGCCCTGCTGCCGAGCCGCCCGGGAGCCGAGCCGCCCTGCACCCGAGCCGCCCGGGAGCCGAGCCGCCCTGCGCCCGAGCCGCCCTGCCGCCGAGCCGCCCGGGAGCCGAGCCGCTGTGCACCCGAGCCGCCCGGTCGCCGAGCCGCCTTTCTGCAGAGCTGCACGACCTGCCCTGCCTGGTGAGCACAGTCCCACTGTCACTGCGAGCTCTTTCCCT